GTTGGCACAGTAGCACCAGCAGCATGATTACAGCAAAAGAAACCACTACTCTTAGTTAAAACTATAGAAAAATATCATTTGTGTTTATACAGGAGGAAGTCTGATGTCAGGATAGCCCATGTATCCCTGCAGTCTTTAACTCTTGGTGCTAGGATAGTGTGTGACAACAAAATCAGGGAACATTCAGCTGTAAGGCAACATAGGACTCACCCAGGACACACACATCCAGGAGACCTATTTCATGCTGCAGCTCAGGAGGTAGAAGAGAACTGGGACAGCCCTTCAATTCTAGGGGGAATTGTTTGAGGAAGATCAGAAATGGGCAAGAGAGGAAAAACCTCACAGGAATTAACAGACCCCAGCCTAGATGTTCTGTTTCTTCCCTTCTCCTCTCCAAGGAATCACTGCTTTAATGAAAAGGAAATAGGGAGGATGCTTTCTGTAGTCACACTACTGTAATGGTAAAAGGGCATTTGGGATGAGAAGATGGATGTAGGAAGAATGCAGAAGAGGACTGAGTGGGGGAAAGAGAAAAGAAGCTGTTAACCATTTTTCTCAGGAACTAGCCAGCGCGTGTGCATGAATGCATGCGCCCAGGGAATGTACACAAGTAAAGGGAGATGCTTTGCCTAAAGAAGGCAGTGCTACAATTTCAGTTTTCTTCTACCCAGGGAAAAGTGTCAATGGATTTTTTTTAGCTTCTTGAAACAAGTCAATACAGAGTTATTTTTTGTGAAAGGCGTGAGAATAAAGTCAGCTGGGCTGTGAATCTGCTGCCGCAAGGGAGTCATGAGGAATTAATTTAATCCATAGTAGCAAAGTTTAAAAGAGGAATTTGAAGTCTTTCTGAGCACACAGTGGAGCAACATCAAAGTCAAGTACATGTTTGATCTATGCCAGCACTGACAGATTATGATCTTGCAGTTGCAGAAGGGCGGCACTGGTGTCTCTCAGCTTTGTTTCTACTGATCCCACAGATAAAGTGGGAGAAGACTGTCTGGCAGCAAATGACACGTAGAAGTCTCTTGGGGCTGATGCAGCAGCCATTTTGCATTAATCTTTAGGCTTTCAGGCTCTTCTACAGATTGTAGTAGATTCTTAGGCTTTCATACTTACAGTATTTATAATATTGTTCTGGTGTGACAAGCAGTTGGGTTTTATAATCGAGTTCATAAAATGGTTGATATTGTGATTTACCAGACTGGAACTCCGTTTCTGGCATTGTAATTGAGTCATCTGTGGCTTTGCGGGGTGTTACTTACCTTCCCTGTGCCTCAGTTTCTCATGCACTGAAGGGGAGCACATAGAGTTGTCAACATCATTTAGCAGCATCTAGAGCTCTGGACCTCTGCAAATAGAAGGCAATAGAAGGAAAATTGCACAAAATAGCCCTGTTGTGGTTATTGGGATTTATAAGCCATGGGTTTATTTTATAAACCCATATTATAACCCACTGAAGTGTTACACCCATCAGATTTTATTGGGATTTTCCTGTTCTTGTGAAACTGGAGCACAGAGCCAACCCAAGCAAATGCTCCTCTTTCTGTACTGATCTCAGAATTTTCCTTCTGTGGTCAATCTGCGAGAACAGTATATGATCTTTTGGCATATGCATTGCCCTCCTACACGCACATACACACAGATTAAATGTCTGAAGTATTTGCATATAGGGAGCAAAAGGCCTTTCCCTCGTTTAGAAATCTCACATGCCCCTTTGTTTTCCTGCGTCTTACCCTTTCTGCAGCATTCTCTAAGGCTGACCTGCAAAGATGCAGCCGCCTCCCTCTCGCCAGCCAGGCTGCGAAGGGCTTACCTGGGGCCTCACTGCCTGTGAGCACACAGGGAGGTACCGGGAGATGTCGGGGGCCATGGGCTGGATATTAGGTGGGGACAGAGGACAGAGCGTCCTTGCTCTTCCAGCCAGGTGAATACCGAGATCTGCCATCCAGGCAGCGTGCCAGGGTTTGTGCCGTTGTCAAGTTTTTGAACGTCGATTGATTTTAAATACTTTTATTTATTCATTTATTATGACAGCCTTTGAGCGTGTACCAGCTGGTAAAGTACACATTACTGCTGCCATGGCCCGTAGCCACTTTGGGGATTAAAAACTGAGTATTTTCACATTTTTATGAGTTTTTCCTGGCTGAAAAGAAAGTTGCAAGCTTTCGGCTGGTTTTTTTTCATTTTCTGTCAGAAAGATGGGGAATTAATTTCTAATCAGCTTGCTCTGTTCCTTTAAGACTCTGAAAACCAATTTGAAGCAAGAGGAAACCAGAAGTGGGCGAGACCTGCAGCCCCACGTCTCATCCTGTAACTCCCATGGGAGCTTCATAGGTCACTGCCTCCTCCACACAGACACCATTACCTAAGCTGTAGGGCTTGATATATTTCTTTGACATATTTATATTAGCTGATTTATAGGAAAAAGATATATTTAGGCCATCAACTATAAGGTCTAAGTTCAAAAGGGTACTGAGAGATGCAGACCATTCGCCAACCTGACTGTCCGACCCAGCTCCAGACACAAGCTGTATTTCCAACTCTGCTTATATGTCCTCAAAGCACATTTTGGGTCACAAAGCTTTGTAAAACACATTTTAAAGAAGTATGTATTGTTAATGCTGATGCACGTCTTTGGGGTTTTAAAGGAGAGCTTAATACCTGCATCTGCTCTGTAAATAAAGGATTTCAACCTGTATGGCTCTCAGAAGGCACCTTTGACAAGCTCTTAAACTTTCCTAACTTAAAAGGAAAAACTGCCTTAGTCACCTTGCAATAGATGTACAGAATGGTACCAGGTGGCTGCGGCCCCTGGCATGCTGCTCTTCTTGCAAGGAGGGTAAGTGGAGCCTGAATGAATGACAGCAAAGCAGATTAAAAGTCTCAGTTTCAGCTGGACAAGCCTACATTCATTAACTGACTAGTCTGCCCAGCTTGTTTATTACTAATTCTGAGCACCATCCAAGTGGGAGAAACACCTGTGATGGGGTGTCAGCCATCAGAGATGTCCATCTAGCAGAGTCCTGCCCATCACAAGCTGCCGGCCACCGGCACTGCTGTCAGGGCGACAAGCCTCTGGATAGCAGCTTGGCTTCCCATCGGGACCTGCTGGATGAATGTGGTCACAAACAGGAAGGGAAACACATGTTAAATACCTTTTTCCTTTCTTGTCCTTTCCTCCTGACAGTTGGCCTACAGCTTGTGATTTTAGGGTAAAAGTCACTTTTGTGGTTTACTTATGATTTTTTTTCAATGAAATCCTGTAAATCTAACATGAACCCAGGACAGCACTTCTCTGGTACCTCCTTTGCAGCTGTGGGGCATTCGTAGGGTGAAGGGCAGCTCTGGGATCAGCTCTAAGAGGGCTCAGAGGCCTCACATGTGCCCCGCTCCAGGGGCTCAGCCTGGGTGAAGGCTTCTCTCTGGCTCTGCACTGGACCATCTTGGATAAGAGTTCCCAAATTCCAGCTGCGGTCAGAAGCAAGCAGTCTGCAGGAACAAAATGAAACATTGCAATGGCTTGTCTAATATACATTATTTTCTGAAGCAACCATTGCCAGTATACTCATAGATTTGTATAGTCACTTTCGTGAACTAGATTAACATATAGTCTGGACTGTAAAAATAACTCGAGTTTGAAAATGATGAAGACTTTCTATTTTAAAGCCGACTACTATAATTTTTATGTTCTCTGGAAAGAACTGCCACTTAGACAAGTCCTAGAAGGAGTTTTTCATTTTGTCTTCCTTCTGTTATTGAATACGTTCTTTGATACTGAAGCTGTTGAAAGAGCAGTTTCCATACAAGATATGTAAACGCACACTCTGTGTAGACAGGGTCTTCATGTTTCACAGAAAACTATGACAGTCCTATTCTTGGGCTGAGATTTTTTCCACTGATGGGGACTGCAGTATTCTAAAGCTGTGTTTAGCAAACAAAGCTAACCTGGAGCCTAAAAATATACATTGCATTTGCAGAGAGCCTGTAAGCCTCTCAAGGTAATCCTTTTGTGATATAAAACAAGCCAATACTGTAATGGTTGTACCTCTTGAAGCTATTGCAGTTACAAAATCTGTACCAATGAAATGCAGTGCTTATTGGAAGATCAAATTATAGCAGTCACACCTGTAGCGATTCTGTGATTCATTCATTTTTTTTGCTCCTTCTGCTGTCGTATTGCCTGTCATATGTGCATGTAGGAGGTCCTTGGGTCCAGGACCAGCCTTTTCTTAAATACTTGTTTTACAAATACACCTTCCAGAACATAGCCATGGTTAATGATGGAGCCCCTGAAATATTAACTACCCACATCTTTATATAGTTGATATCTATAATAGTAATTAGATAAACTTTTTTCTTGTTTCTTCATTGAGATCAGTACATGCTATCACCATTTATACCAGGAAACCTAAATTGGGTTTCAACCTAACTTGTGGTACAGTAGTATTAGAATAAGACTACAAAGACTGAAATCAGTGGCTATTTTGCTACCATCTTGGTTAGCTATAGTGTTTTTTCGCAATAAAACCTGTTCCACAGAATTTCAAACTTTGCTGCTAAAAAGGAAAATCCAAATATTTAATAACCCAGGACTTGACTTTACTCATGAGGACATGATAAGTATCCTATTAAAGCTATAGATGTGCATCTATATTTAATCTCATCTTTGCAAAATATTTAAAGAACAACACTTAAATCTTCTCTTTTTTTTTTTTTTTTTAAAGTAGCAGTACAACTGCAGTAATACAAACATTTTTCTAAAGTGCCTGGTAGTGATCTCTTAGCAAATAAGCCACATCAGGCCAGCTTTGATATTCTTATTCTTGTTGAATGATAATAATCCTATTGAAATTTAGCTAGATCATGGAATAGGGTAATACTAGGAAAGAGTGATGATGTTGGAATGTGGCCTAAAATAAAAAAAAAAATCACATTTTATACTGTGTTAAATTACAAGCTGTCCATTGCTTTAATGATAAGCAATTTAGTCCCAATGCAATATGTTCAAATACAATCCTGAAACTGACAACCCCAGAAGTATGTGTGGTAAAAATTGAAGACCTTAGTTACAGCTGCATAAGAGTGATTGAATTCAGCATAAGCCGATACAGAACTTAACTCTACGTATCTTTGTATTTTATTGCTTGTGAGAACTGAAGACAGGCGAACTCAAACCTTTGCTACTTTTTAAAGGGCATTGGCATTTTCAGTATGTATTTAAATCTTTAAATGAAATGATATATCTCTATTTTTTTAATAAATCTTCTGCTTTTCTCTTAAATTGAAATCTCTGGTTGAGTTTCAAACTTGTGAGGAAAAGTGGAGAAAGAGTCTTCTTTATGGACCCTTTCAGACTTTAACTGACTCATCTCTCAAAGGCATCATCACAAATAGTGTTTTGATAGAGAAAAAAATCCGGATAATATAAACTACCCCTGAATGCTGCTGAATCACACACCTCTGGGCAGCTCTTTTCTGTGCATCGGGACTGAGAAAATGCTGTCCCCATTAATGCGGGATGGTGGAACTGATAGAATACATTTTCAGAGACATATGAAAAATTAGAAGTATCTCCGTCTCCTAGAAAAATTGTCTTACCTTGAGATGTGACCAATAGCCAGCCTGCAATTGATTTGCACACAAATCTAGCAATTTTGTCAGGTTTGTCTTCCCAGAAACTTAATTTAGAGATTTTCTATTAATACCAGATACTTCACCGTAGGCTTTTCTTCCTACGGTATTTGGCTCCCTGCCACCCTTCAGTTCACAGACACCCATTCCTTCTGCCACTAGCCAGAGGAAGAAACCAACAGACATAAATAAATGTTTGCTGTCCTTGGCAAAACCTTTTCAGAAGGCCCCCACCCTGATTAGAGATATATTTCCCAAGGAGTAAATAGATTCCGGGGAAAAAAAACCCCACCACAGTATAAATGCATCATCTTCACATCCTTTTTCTGTGAATCTTTGGTCACAACTTCTTATATTGTTGATGGAAGTTTACAGACCTGTCAGTTGATGACAGAGCTATCAGCTAAATCTGGGTTGCAGCGTATTTATTCTTAGGGATGATGCACGAATCAGAAATAAAGCAACTTGGTTTTAGTCCCAGGGGAAATATAAGCAAATGTGCTGTGGAACCGCTTCCCGCTCTGTTATCACAGAAGTGCCCAAAGCGATTCGGTCCACAGGGAAGGTTGGTGGGCAACAGCACAGAGTGATTCCTGGTGGCACGCGGGCTGTAACGGGATCGAGAAAATGCTATTTCTAATACACTTTTGGAACAGAGGGAAGAGAAAGCAAGAATTATTTCAATCTAATTTCTAGTGTTGCTTACCTGAAATTTTCCAAAATCAGCCTGTGTCATAGCCACATTAAGAGCTTAAAGCTCTGCATAACCTTCAGCACAAGAAGGAACTTACAGACTTAAAGGTCCACCTGGTTTCTTAAATCCCCGCTTGGATTACAGTGTTACAAGCAATGCACACAGGATGTAGGAAAATCCTGTCGAATGGAAACTCCTCTTATTCTGTAAGAAATGTTTGTGGTGTTCAAGACAACAGATGAGTGTTTGTATTGAACAGATCTCCCTTGTTTGGAACAGAAGAAACAGCTCAACCACAGAGCGTGCTGCTTCCTTGGCCCTCCTCCACCACCCCTGTTTCCACCACCGTACTTCAGGCATGGCTGGAGCTCTGTAAGTGTGGCCCAGGAGCCTTTCTCTTCTTTTTCACATGACTTTTTTGATGTATGACAAAGACTGAAGCATCCTCTCGAGCACTGCTTCATGGCATCACTCAGCAAACCCATCTGGCTGTGTTGATACAGCTCTGTTAGGACAATCATTCAATATCCCAGACTGGGGCTTGAAGTAAATCTCAAATAGATCAAGGAATGAAATGAGGCTGGGTTTGTTCAGGCAGTTAATTCAATTAACTTAAAATATTCTCCTTAGTCTGTTTTGGGAACTTTCTTAGAGTAAGACAATCCTGAACTAAAGGAAATGGCAATGCAATAAACCAAGAAAGGACAGAAAAGCCTTAAATCACCCTGTACAGTGATTTCAGGGTATACATTATGTATGTGTCCTGTTTTGCATCACATTTGCCTGTTACCCAGTAGGTGAAATGAAGGTCCCAAAATCCTCCTATGGAATCTATTCCTGCGATTTCATTTTGCAGAAAGAAAGACATGTTTGAGTTGCTGGTATGGAGTTTTCACTCACTCACCCACCTATGCACATACCTGCTTTATATGATTTATATCCATACACATATGTTAACATATGCAACATACAAGATACAATGGGTATATGATATAGCAGTTTGCCCCATTACTCTTATTGCCAGGGTCTGTTAACACCATTGTATTTTCCATCCCAACATTAAGAATTTTTCTACTTACTCAGTAATTCCTATTTCTTAATTCTACTATTCATTTACCATATACAAATACTGCAATTATTGCTAGTCTTATGTAAATAATCATTAGTAAGACGTCTGACAAGAACTAACCCAAGAAAAAATACAGTGTAAAATCCTCCATTGTCTTCAGAGAGATCAGGACTGAGGTCAAGGTACTAATCCCCCTAAATCAAAATCTAGTTGCCTCCCTTTTCTTCATCCCCTCCCTGTGCCTTGATTTCCACAGCAAGGAGACCCAGAGACAGGATCTCCTTAGGAATATGGTGTACTCCTTCAGTGAGGATGAGGTTGGCACCAGGGTCCCTGAGATTGCCCCAAGCAGCCCAGAGAGTAATCTGGGCATAAAATCACCCTTCACACCATCTCCCCCATAAAAACACGAAATAAAACTAAGTAGTAACTAGGAGGGTGGGAGCCACGTGAATTCACTACAAGCAGTTTGTGCTTTGGAGTCTCTAGTTGGAGACTCCTTTTGTCACAAGACATAAATAAGCCAGTTTACTCATGCAAGCCTAATTCTGAAGTCAAAAGATTAGACATTCATTGAGCATTAAAGACGTCGGCTCTGATCTGCAGTGAATAAATGCCTACGGGTTAGTATCTTCTGGAGCGAAGTTCGTGCTGCCTACAGCCTCACTGAGCGTAGCCTCTATTTTTAGAGCAAAGACACTATTTTTGGAGAGGACCTGCTACTTGCAAAGTGGGATGGAGAGAGCAGGGTCAGGTCTAAGAATAGGCCAGGGTCCCACGCTGGCTCGGAGGGGTGCACAGCAGCCTGGCCGCAGTGTGCCTCTGGGAGAGGAGGAGGAGGAGGAGGAGGAAGTGTGGGGCAGGACACTGCTGAAGTGCTAATGTTCAGGCATCCATGAAGATAACCTTGTGACAAACCCTGGGCTTCTCCCTAAGGGAGTGAATAAATTCTCCTGAGGCCCTAGTGTTTGGTGGCTGGTTTTTTTATGCATTTCTCCAACAGGCTATGTATGGCTGCATGTTCACTTGTATGTTTTATGTTACGTAGAATCTGCTTGCCTTGGATATGAAAGAGTTGTGTCGGGAGCTCCAGCTAATAGAGGCTTCCTCTCTGCCCAAATCGCATTGCCCTGCAGGGCCTCCTGGCCCCCAGGTGAGTGATGCATTTGCAATTAAACCACATCATTCTCTCCAAGGTCCTTACAAAGCTGTAAACCATCTGCAAATGCTTTTTACCACTTACTAAACATACCGAGCTCTGACTTAATTCATTGTGATATGACTATGCATAGATCATGTAGGCTTTTTACCCTATGTTCTCATCCCTGCCTTGCATATTCCAGTCGGTTTCAAGTTCACCCTTCATTTTTGTGTAGTTTTACAGTGGGTAGCACCCATCAAAAATCTCAGAGGTGCCATCACTTCCTTCAGAGGCTCTTTGTTAGCTTTTTCTTTGCTTTAGACACTGTTGTTCTTTATATGAGGGAAGGAGCCCATGGAGTGGATGCACAAGAGGTGCAATGAACTTGAATATTAGTGGCATACATCCCTGAGAAGGCAACCACCTACAGTAAACTTCAGAGACAAGGAGGGGCTTCAGGAGGGCAGTGGGATGGGATTCAGGAGATGTGGGGTGTCCTAGCTTGACCTGCAACATCTCTGCCTCTGACTTTCTGGGTAGCCTTGGGCCAGTCTTTTTAACCTCCCATTTAATTTTCTACAATTTGTACGTTCAGAAATCTTCTGAAGGAGGTCAGAAATCTTCTGAGGAAATGGTCCACCTCTAGGGGGAAGGTTTTTGCTAACATATCCATAGTTTGGAGAAGATCACCCATCTGTCTTTCCATTCCAGTTTGTTCCCTCCAAAGAAAAATGAAACTTTTCATGGAGACGTACTTCCAGTTTCTCCTCGGGCACAGGTGGTCCCAATCTATGTGCTGTGCACGGTGCTTTGGGACAGTGATCTTCCTCGAGGTCCCTGGGTGCCTGTTTTATAACAATACAGCTAATAGCAGGCATGACACAGGACCTTTGCTGCAGCAAAGCTGTGACTGAGGCTTTAGCAGCCTGAGAAGTTAACAAGCACCAAAACACTATTTAGAAAGTATGGACTGTACATCACAGTAAAGGTTCGGTTATATGGCAAAAGCTTAGCTTTAATTATCTAGAGGTCAATACTTCAGAAGGCATTTGTAAATAGCCTAGAAGTTGCAATGTGAAAGCCACAAGGTCTTGCTTTATGAACCTTGACTTCATTGTTCTGCCATTTTGTCTTTGCTGAGATGCAGGATGAGGCTGATTCATTTAGCATGTGAATCATAAGGTGCAGAGAGCAGCGATGGGAAGCGTTTGTCCTGTCCTGTATTGAGAAAACTCTTCTCTGCATTACGGAACAGCCCTGCAGTGTGGTTGGCCATGATCCAGAGCTGCAGTACATGTGAAAGAAGCAGGTGTTGTTTCAGTCTTCACTAGACTGCCTTTTTAAAAAAAAAATCCTCTTAATACTCTCTCTGACTTAAATTGGAAGAACAGTAATATTAATTCTATTGTTCTACAAGGTCCATTGATACAAATAACATTAATCTTGCAATCAAATGATCTATGATCCCTCCAAGAACATTTTTTAAATAGAGTGGGCTGGCAGATTTTATCACAACAGCAGACAGTAGGGTGGGTATAACATGGCTTCAGAATTTTTAATTATAAATTACAGGACTGTGTGTTGTAATGGGACAATGTTAGAGCCAGAAGTCTGTGGACTCAGAGGTGAATTTTAACACTTTTTCATAAGAAGGAGAATTAGATTTGTAATTATATAACTCAGAGTATAATTCCTCCCATGTATAACCTAAGGTAAAATGAAAGAAATAAGATAAAATTTGGCTCTGACTCTAATAGGGTGCATTCTGATTTACACTATTGAAAACCTAAAATAACTCTACTGATGAAAATAGTTGGAGTAATTTGCATTTGAATGTACACTTTGCTCCTATTCACGTACAACTTGCATCATGTTTTGGACAGTATAAGACAGCCAGGATCCAGACCTGACGTGAGTGATTTGTACAGTGAATCTGATGCTCAGGCTCATGGCATTCTAAAATAAAAGGTGGTCTGTGAACTGAAGCTTTCTAGAAACAAAATTGTTTTTCTGATTTTTTTTTTTTTCTGAAACGGGGTTCAAGGTCTCCCTGGATTAAGCAGTCTCCTGAAAGGAAAATCAGCCTCATTTGAGAGAGACAAATATCCTCAGGATTCAGAAGTGGTGACAATCCTCTATGTCCATACCACACTGCAGAGCCCATCCCACGTGTTTTATGCCATTTCCTTTACCACCCTTTTGGCTGACCTCCTTTGCCAGCTGATGCAGTGTGTCCGTGTCCTCATTGTCGCTAATTCTTCAGGACTCCAATAACTTCTCATCTTTCCTTTGCCCCAGGCCTTTTTTCTTGCTAGTTTTCTTCATCTAGATGCCCCTGCACTTCTCATGTCGGTCCAACTCTCCAGTCTGCCATTCAGCAGTGGCACAGACCTGGCATTTAGAGGTCACGTCCAAACACCTCGTCCAACACCCCAACCTTGTGGGTTCACACTGTTCCCAGGAGACACCTAGAAGGTCAAGGGCTGAGGGAAGACAATGACTAGTGCCTCCTTACTAATGCAGTTTAATAATAGCATTCACTTTTCTCCCTAGGGTCCACAAGGTATTCCTGGTATAATGGGACCAAAAGGGGAGAAAGTAAGTGTCTGTTGTTATGGAGTTTGGTATGTTTTTGAGGGGCAAAGAAAGAAGGGGGAGGGAATGTTCACTTTTTTCCTTGTCTGGTTAGTGAATGGTGGGCCTTAGGGATGTAGGGATTTGCTTTAATTTGAATGTAAAGCTGTGAATTGGTTTGAAGCTATAATTTAAAGCTCCATCTTTCAGTGTTCATTTTTCAGTCTTGGAATGTTTTTTGTGGCTTCTCATGATAGCTACCTCTGTCTAGAGTATGCGTTAAGAAAGCAGCTCAGGTGCACAAGTCAGTGATCTTACTGATCTGAAGGCCTTTGAATGCCCTGTCCCTCTGGAAGGACATGAGAAGCAGAGCTCTCCCATGTACTGTTAATTGTATAGGTCAGCTCAGATGTTAAAACTGGCCTATATGTTAAGTTTGGCTTCAGATCTGCAAAACATTTGCTCCATGATGATGCTTAAAGAGCCTTATACCTGAAGCTGGGCACATAATTACATGCTTTGCTCTACAAGGGGATGACTGTAGATTTAGGGCTGAGAACACAGGAAAGACCAAGGAGCTCTGTTAAAGTAATTCTTCTCACTTTACCTCTGGAAGCAAAGTCCTGAACACAAAGATATTCCCAGCATTTACTTATTTATTTAATGTAAATGCACTGACTAATGAGTCACTGTGCTTTGTGTGGTGCCTCTGAGACTAACATACTCCTTTCTCTGGCAGGGGGAGATTGGCCGGCCAGGAAGAAAGGTATGAACAAAGGTGCTGCCTCAGAAACCTGTCTAATACTTGACATGTAGCAGCTGTCAGAGAGGGGTGCAGACAGTAGTTAAATAAAAATCAGCTAATGTTGAAGTCTAACCTGTTTGTGCTGCTTTCCCTGGTACCCAGGGTGGGTGGTATGGAGCTCTGGGTGCAGGGCTGGAGAGCTGGGCCCTCTGGCTTGGAGAGCTGTCCCAGCTGGTTTGAATTCGACAAATTCCCTCAGTAAAAGCCTGCAGCTCTGGCCAGACAATTAAAACAGAGTGGGAAATTATCTGAACTATGTCTCTGTGGACAGGGGAAGCAGAGTACATGTATTAAAAAAAGCCCAAAGTAAAATAAAACTTTTTACTCTTCCAAAGTCTAAACAAGGCTTGGCCAAACACCCCCAAAGGAGGAATAACCATTAATGATTACACTCACAGAGCTTTGGCACAAATGCAGTATGCTGACTACAATCCCATGCTTGGTGTCATATGAACCATGATATATTGTCAAAAATATGCACCCCTACATGTGGTGAAACAGAATACGTTATCTCAGTCGCTAAGTACCTCTATTTAATGTAATTAACTTTAAAAGAAGTCAGAAATACAGGATGAAATCAGAGATATGCAGGGGGTAGTCACTAACCAGGAAAAGAAGTACCCTTCTAATAATATGCCAAGGATTTTAACACCCTTCTAATAATATACAAAGGATTTTAACACTAGCTACCTATCAGTAATTCAAATAAATATGAAACACATAAACAAAAGAGGTCTTTTTCTTTAATCTAAATTGCAAATGCCTTACTGTAAACAAAAATAGTACTTCTTATATATATTCAAGTGTTCAAATCAGCAATGTCTTAGAGTCACCCACCAACCTACAAGAGAGTGCAAACTTTAAACACAGTACATCAGTACTTACTCTTCTGACAAAAACTAGTACGTCCCAAAAGAGAGGTTGCTCAGGTTGGAAATAAAACAGTATATCTCTTGCTAAAACCTGTCTGGCTCATAGGAGGTCACTCTTAGCCCCAAATGTCATGATGACGTTTCTAAGATTATGTTGTCAAGTGGCATAAAGCAGCAGAATAGCACTAATCTGCAGCATTTTAGGAGATACACAAAGAGTGATTTACAGGCAGTAATCAAAATAGATAAATAACTATATGTGTTGTAGTTACTGCTAGTCATATAGTAGCTAATAAAGAGCAATTATAGCTAGTAATATGAGAATGTTCAGAATAGGAATAATAGTAAATACAAATAAGAATATCTTAGTTAAAGATTTGGTTCTGTTAATGTAAATTGGATTCATACTGACATAATTACATGCAGGTCTTTTTTATTTACATCCTATTATTAAATGAAAAGAGGATCTAAGTTATTGATACTGGGTTTTTAGGATTATTATTTTGATTGCATGTAGATTTACTCTGTAGCTGATCTACTTATTTGACTCAGTATAACCTGGTATTTTCTGTGAGCACACACTTGCTCCAGTAGCATCAACACCAACTGTATTATGAATATAATATAGTAATTTTTTTGTATTGAAAACAAGGTAAAGAAGAATTTGCAGGTCTTTTCCTGAAAAGACTTTATTCCTCCATATCTCCTGTCTGCAGTGGAGGCCTGTGTGTAGGAATGATGTTACATGAATCATTGTAATCGATGTTTTCTGTTCAAGGGTAGACCAGGTCCCCCGGGTGTCCCTGGGATGCCAGGACCAGTAGGATGGCCTGGACCTGTGGGACCGAAGGTAAGACTAAAATTCACATGGAATATAACCTGTTCAACATCATGATCTGAACAGAACAGTTGTCTTGGGAAGTCCCTAAACCACTATCTGCTGGAGGCTGGGAAGCTGCAGCAGTGCAAGGACAGTCTGTGCTTGTCCCGTTTCTTACACTGCTCTGCAAAGACCTGCCCAGTCTAGGGTTAGGTTACTCCATCTTCAGCCTAGCCCCTGTAGCACTTCTTATGTTGATTAAAATATGTCAAAGGGAATTTGAAAATCAATCTAATGAAGACTCATTGATAACCACTGGTGTCTCACAGTCACACGAATCAGTGTTTCAAAACTGATCACCATCTTTATGACTGTTCTTTTATGATGGTCTCTTTGCCTGAATGTCTACTTCTTGCAGTGTAACTGTGTGCCCATGCGATCAGAGTGAGAATAGCTCACTGGTATCAGGAGAAAGAGATTACCAACCATGAGGATTGCTGATCACATCTTTGAAGTTCATTCCCATACAAACAAACACCCATTCCTGTGATTTTTAATAACCAACAGCAAAAGAAATGGCAGGACAGGCTCTGCTACTGCAGAGTAGTTGCTTCACCTGCATTTATTACAAAAAAGCTGCAGGACAGTCCTTTACTGAGTATTATCTTATGCAAAAGGTATACAGCTCTTCTCAAGAGCCACAGTATATGGAGTTTCTACCGGGACTTTTGAGATAACTTGCTTTTCTTCAAACCAGTATGCATCAGACAAAAGGACTGCACACAATGTTTAGTTCAAAGCTACATTTTCCAGTAAATCTTTGACCCTTTATTTGCTCCATGAAGGTTGGTGCCCCCACCTCAGAGTATGTGATGCAGTAGCTCTTGCTACTGCAAGAATAATAGTAGATGACTTCTGAATTCAAGCCATATCTGGGAAGCAGACCCTCTAGCTCTTCACAGCTGTGTTAGATGAAGAACATCATATTATAGTATGTGGAAATGTAGGCAAGCAACAGCAGAGTATGTACTTAAAAGAAGCCAATGTTCACTTTGAAGTGTGGGATGGGAAATTGTGTGTCCCCCCCAAATGCATTGTGTTTTCTTTTGTTTGTGATTTCCCACAGTGAGAGCAGTCAGGGCAGAAGGAAGGTCCAACTCCCTCCTTCCCTCACAGTCAGTACTGAGAGCAGAGCAGTCAGAAAACTCATTCACTTGGCCTTTTCCTTAAATAAGCTCTGGTTTTATTTATGAAGTCTTCCTAATTTTGATTTTATCTCCTCTTTGACTATTGCTATGCTTTTTCTTCACACTCCTCACGTTCAGTAGTAATTCAGTAGTAAGCATCCCTCACATTCAGTAGTAAAGCATCCCTCACATTCAGTAGTAATATTTTTGCCTATACTTTGCAAGTCTTACTTGCTGTTTGATTCCAGTTCTTCTGCTTTTATTGTCTCCTCTGTTCTTTAGATGGGTTCACACTTTCATTTCTTCTAGTCTTTATAAATTTTGGTTTTATGCCTGTCAATGAAGACTCCAGTCAAATAGAGGCCAGCAGATCTCTGTGCTCACTTCCATCAGTTGTGTCTCCTTTCTCTTCTTCTCATCTCTGATCTTCCCAAATTTGTGATACTTCGCTATAGTCATTTGCTGCATCCTCTTGCTGTAAATCTCCCTCTGTAATTCTCACCTTGTTTCAATTTTAAAGTAAGATGCTGCTTGGGTTTTTTTCTCAGTACCATCTCTGTGCCTTCTACTTCTTCAGCTGGGTCTCCTTACTTGTCTTCCCTTTCTTTGACACAACCTTGATCCAATCCTTATTTCTCCTACTTTGTTTCTTCAAGTCTTTTCTGAACTTCTGCCGGGGCAGCAGCCAATGTGAAAATTCTCTCCATTTCTAGGACAGTGAAAGCCAAAGGAGAATGAGAGCCAACTGTATTCTGCTGGTAGCGCTGCTGCATGTTTGCAGGGACTACTCCATATTTCACACTAGACATAATTATCTGACAGCAGACAGAGAAGTTGTTGTAAAGCCTTTTCTTGATTTACTGGCTCCAAACCACTGTAAAGCACATGATGTCTCAGAACTATGACAAAAGTAGTCACTATGCCTCTCCAAGCCACAAAGGCTTGCAGCAAAATACTTTCCTTTTCTGCAACTCAGTGGAAGTGATGCTGGGTAGAGACAATGCACCTTCACGCAGAAAAAGGATGCACTGATGATGCTAATTTGCTTGCATGTCCTTTAATAGCATCTGGCAAAACTGAAGCACAAGTTACACACTCAAGAATATGCAAATAGAAGAATAAGATAACATATGAGGACTCAGGCGGAATATAATTGCAATATAGACCTCTGACTACAATGCTACAGCAAGGTCAGGCTTGTCTCACCTATTTGACATAAAACCTGAACCACTAAACTGCCAGACATTCAAATATGACCTCATCAGAGAGCCACAATCAATAACTCTCTTTATTGACCCCTTTAGGGTGAAAAGGGAGAGTTGGGTGTGATGGGATTGCCAGGTACAAGAGGACCAATGGGCTCCAAGGTTTGTTAACCAAATGCTGCATTTTCAGACATTGGTTTCTAATGCTCTGCTGACGGCTGCTTCCCTCATGAATTTGCTGGAAGGCATTTATCAAGATATATTTTTTCTAATACAGCTAAAAAGATACGTTCTCCTTCAAGCAAGGTTTTGTTGTCTGGTTGGGCTTGGCTGTGTTTTTGGCTTTCATAAAAATGCTTTGGCATAAATTATTGTAATGCAAAAATTTATTTTAAAAGCAAAACCCATATATGATTGTATCCCACTAGAAGACTGGAGTTCTTAAGTGTAACTGCAGCATTAAATCATTTCTGCAATGTTTTCCACCCACCTCATAGGATTGTGGAGATCATTTTGGTACTGTACTAAAACTATGCGTATGTACTGACAGTTGGATAGCAAGCACAATTTGGTCTGGATGTTCTATATCAGCACATCATTGCCTAGAGCATAGCCTCTGCCTTTACAAATTTGAGCCACAACATTTTAAGGTACTTGAAAAAAAATATGTGATCAGTTTATTCAGATAAAGGACTGGAAAGAAGAACTGAACACCACTGTTTATTGTATGTTTCTTAAAGACAAACTCAGTTTTATAGTAATCTTCACATTAGAAGAGTACTCAAGTATATTTTAAGGATGTTCCACAGGAGAAATTAAAAAAAAAAAAAAAAAGAAGAGGAATATTATTGCTAGTATTATTTTAGAATATTAATTGTTGCTTCTAAGGCTCCATTCACTTTCAGTTACATTTTATTTCCCTTGCTTCAATTTTAAAGCAATATCAAACCTGCTGGCTTTACCTGGCTTTTTCACATTGGCTTTTGGGCTGAGTTGTCTTGCCTTTAATTCATATTTCATAGTTCTGTTTCAGTGCAATTTTAGAAGCTATAAATATTCATTTGCATTTACAAGCTGATGCAATTAATTATTTGTGCTTCATTCTTTTTCTTCACTTTGAAGTTTGAAAGTCCAGCTTCTTGGGTGATCTTGAAAGCGAGAAGCATTAAAATATCTATCATTCCCTTTAGGGTTTTCCTGGAACTAGAGGAGAAAAGGTCAGTGTGACGATAGAATAATGTATAATTTAACAATTGGCAACAGTTATGTAAAAAGAAGTAACTGTAGAAATGAGATTGAATTTTGATGGAGTGAAGTCTAAAGGTCCCACTGAGAAATGAAAACAAGCATCAAGAAGGAACACAGTCTTGGGATGCTAAGAAGTGAGTTTTACACCCCATCTTCTTGTGAACAGGTTACTACAGTGCACCTCACTACAGTTTCTCCATCTGTAGAATGGGTATAATAATCCTTAATTGTTGGTCTGGTTTATTTAGGCTATATACACTTTGGCATAGAGGCAGTTTTTACTGTAAGACCTTACAGTGGGACCTGAACTTGGATGAAGCCAACTGGGGAAAAAAATCAAGTTTGGAATTATTATGTCCAGGACAGCACGTATTTAAAGCAATTATCTGGGGACAATGAGTCCTTTTTCCTACAAGCCTTACTCTTAATTCTGTTATAATATCAATAAAAGTAATAAGGAAACATTTGAGGGTACCTACCATATACCTCACTCTAAAGATATTACTGTATTCTGCGTGACTCCAAATAACACCTTGTGTAGGAGAAATATTTTTTGCTTCCTCATGAAATGCTCCTAATTAAGCTATTGTCCCCCTGTTATCTCTCTCCAGGGATCCAGAGGTGACAGGGGTGACAAAGGAGTCAAAGGAGACCAGGTAATTTTCTTTTCCAAAAGGCTGTGAGCTTTAGCTGAACGTGCACATGAGGACTAATGTGCTTCTGATAGCAAAAACCAGGAGTGGTATGGAGGAAGGGAGGCTGGAGGCGTCTTCTTGGGAGGGCAAGACTGGCAAGGGAAGGGAAGGCAGTGGTCCTACCTGATGGGAGGGCAGTGGGGCAGCCTCGCTCTCCATGTGCCCCCCCGGCACATAGCGGGGTTCATGAGTCAGGAGGGGATTTCCCTGGAGGTAACCTCAGTCCCTCCTGGCCTATGCAGGACAGAACCAGACAGCTCTCCAAAATGCTTTTAGCTGGTGATATGATAATGCTGGAGGTGGGGGTGGAGGGGTGGTGTGGTGTGTGAGATTCGTGGCTTGGGGGTTCTTTTAACTAAGAAAAGAAAAGTAAACTGCTTTTGATGTAAATGGAGAAACGCCATTCCCAAAACGCAGGCTTTGAGAATTGTCCAGGTAGCATGGTTGCCTGTAGACAAAAGCACAGTTGGGATGTTTTTGCCGGAGGAGAGGAAGCAGGCGGCAGAGGATCAGACAGAGGAGTAGTGTTACCATACAAGGGGCTTTACAGTAAAATTTTGCTTATAATCCTTCACCTACTGCATCACCCGCAGTGCTGAATCACAGTACGCAATTTTTTAACCGATATCAGTACATGGTGCTTGTTTTACTTCCTTCCAAGGAAGGTGCTGCTTTGTCAAAGATGTCTCCACATTTTTTGATGATTTTTCTCCTTTTAATTTGTAGGGAGAAATAGGCTTCCCCGGAATGCTGGGACAAAAAGTAAGTGGGTGTGATATTTTGGGGAGTTGTGTTAAGTGCTGACATAGGGTCAATGAGTGGCTTCAGGGACATCCTGGAAAGTATAAGGTATTGAAGGTCTTGCTTGACTCAATGACCAACACTTCTTGGACTTGGACAAATTCTTTAGGCTTTTTGTCTTCTGAGAAAACTCTGAGATTTAGCTGTTTGTTGGTGTTCCTCTTTTTTCCCCAGAACATTTAGCCATAATCTTCCTCCTGCTTTAACATATTCAAACTCTTGATTGTAAGTTCATAACTTCCCGAATTGCTTAGGGTTTATTCACTTGAAGCTAATAAATATTTCCTCCTTGATGGTGTGAATCAAAATGGCACTACTATAAATAACAGTGATATCCATGACCAGTGTTTATGTCATCGTTATTCTGTACTTGAAGAACAATCAACATTCAGATGTTGGCTTATTGATAGAAAGCCTAAAGGAGGATAATTTTACAACATAAGCACATATTTCTGAAATTAGGGTAAGGAAATAATGCTTCTAGGGAGGCTAAAAGATGAGTGAATTCACCTCCCTTTCACTGAGTGATTTTATTACACTTGCATCTTAACAGCAAAGCAAAATACTGCCAAGGGGTCAGAGAGTTTTGCTAGCCTTGACCTCACCAAGTCTCTGAGCATATTTCTGATCTCTCCGTTTGGCCTCCTCTTTAGGAAAGGATTTTTCAGGGAAATGTGGGTAAATTGTAAGAGATATTTTTTACTTTATGCTTGTTTTAAAATATTTTATTATAGTCTTGGATTTCTGAGAAAGAAATGGTGCCAGCATTATCTAGAGGAATTGTGTGAATGAAAGCACCATCCATCTGCTGTCTTGTATAAGGCCAGTATAACCATGTATTTACATCCTGCTTCCCTTCTGTCCGCACCCACCAAGGGAGAGATGGGCCCGAAGGGACAATCTGGAGTACCAGGACACAGAGGACCTATAGGAAGACCCGGAAAACGAGGCAAACAAGTAGGACCATGGTGTTTCCTCTTTGCACGACTCGTGGCATCTGTGTGGTCGTGGTGTACAACTGTGCAGTCTGTGCTTTCATGGTACCATGCGCTTTATCACACAGGGAGCAGACAGAAGCCCTGAAACACTTCACACGCATGCACAGGCTAAGCAGGAGTTAAAGCCTCAGCTTTAGAGCTGGAGCCTTATCTGTAGCATTCAGCTCCCTGGATGTGCAGCATCGGGGAAAGTTGTATTTTTCCTGGCTTGGTAATGAACTTGTTGAATACAACTTGAGCAGACCCTGAACCCCTCCTTTGAATCCTAAGCAACACAGAGCCACAGTCCCAACCCCACCTGATTGCTAGAGAGTTGGCATGAGGTCCAGGTCTCAGACAGCATGGGATGTAATACTGTGGTGCCCTACACTTTGTAGATCCCAACCCTGAAGCTGACTTAGGGAGCAGGGCTGCTCGATTTACAGGCAGACTGCAATGGCAAATGGGATATATCCAAAATGCAACACATTTCAGCCTGCCCAGGTGCCATCCTCTGCCCCTCACACAGACAGGTTCCTGGGATAAGCGAAGAAAGGTTTGTAGGGAAACACTGGCTTTCTGGGGCTCAGAATGAGGGAGAGATTGCTGTGGCTGCTACATAAACTAGTTCCTCCTCACCTCAGCTCCAGGCAGAGAGGCAGCGTCAGCATCCTGCAAGGGAGGTCCCATTGCCTGTCCATGGATTTTCTCCCTGGCTCACCAGTGCAAAGAGCTACGCTACTGCTAGCAAAAACACTGCTTGTGTGCACTGGCAGTAGCTGCCTGTACACTAAAAATGGTATGCTGTAGTGGATTAAACTGGTATGTGGTCTGTGGCAATGAAAACCACTGGTCTATACATCCAAACCTCAGTCCTGTATTCCACTGTCATACACTCCTGGTTTCTAGCACATGCACTAAGTGTGCATCCAGTGTCCATTCAGGCTTGGCCCTTGCTGCCGCGCCTGCCTGGGAGATGCTTTCTGTCCACACCAGCCAATTTGTTTGAGTCAGGCTTTGCCCAGACCTAGGTGTTGGTCAACACAGATCAGCTTGCAGAGCCACAAGGCCTTGGAGATGTCCGACACACAGTGCAAAGAACCAAAGCACTAAAACACCCTCTCTGTTTCTCCTGTTTCCTCTGTTAACACTAAACCAAGATTGATTTGTTAGACTGGATATTTATAAGGCGGTTCTTGCCATAGTACTGCATGCCAGGGACAGATTCTTCTGCTCTGAGAAAGGTCAGGAAAACACATAGTGAGCTTAAGGGATGGTAATCTTGTATGGAAGCTGTTCAGGAATGAGATGGTTAACAAATGGTCCTTATTTGGAGCTCAAAATAATTATGCTGGTGGAACTATTTTCTCAGACTTCTAGATGAATTGTAAAGGCTTGGAATTGTGTGTAAATTTGATACTGACTCCTTCACTACAGCATTTTCTAAGGAGGAGGTAGCAATATTGGTATAGTTACCTGTTCAAGTCACTAAATGGGCCTCTTTGAGTGCACCTTTCCTTTTGTATTCTTTTTAAGCAGTGATATTGGGGATACAAAGGAGACTAGTTCTTGGTGCTTCGAATTGCCACCTGCAGAGCTTGTTTCTTTCCGCTGACTAGCAGGCAAGGGAACCTGTTCTCTCTACACCGACATTGGTGTTAATGTACATCTGCTCAGGTACAGGAGCTTGTAGATGCGGTAGTTATTGGGCTTAGCCGAAAGTATTTTATTTGCAGTCTTGTCATGCTCAGCATTGCAAACAGAGGCACATGCCTGCTTCACTGTTGCTCTGATGCCATCAGCTAGTATCTGAAATGAAAGAATAGCTAGTGTGGGGAAAAATTGAAAGTTGGCTGTTAGGGAGGGAATAATAGGTCATCAAGTAAAGGAAGGTATGTGTAATGTAAGTCTGCTAGATGACCCACAAGAAATATTTTTTTGTCCTTGATTTATCAGGTTTTAAAAGCTGATGTGTGCTCTTTGCTTTTTTTTTGTTTTGTAAACTATGCACATCTGTCCTGTGAAAGTAATATGCACAGAATATCTTTACATAGCATAAGGCAAAGAGAAGACAGTGCCTGCAGATCAGCTTGAACACAGTGCACTCCTTACTTGACAGTAGACATTTCACAACATTACGCAGTGTTTTAATCAAAAAGTGGTGACATAAGCCATGTCATAATTTAAGGCAACAATCACTGTGACTAAAAGGACTATAATCTGGCCCTAAATTAGGATTTCCAGGCCCAAGGCTCAGTACACAAACCCTGAAAGCAATTTCAGCATTGATCTTCTGCAAGAAAACCGGGTTTCCCTCTCTGTAATTGGTGAACTAGCTACTTCCTTTCTTCTTTTCTAATCCTTTGAAAAAACTTGAGAGTGGCATTTTAAGGCTCTGTGGGTCTGGCTGCTGCCTTTAAGTGCTGTAGTTGTCTGGCTGTTTGTTCAGCTGAGAGGATAGTTTCCATCAACATGGGGCTGTTTCCTGTCTCTTGATCCAGCTGACATCCCTAGATAAAACAGCTAAATTAGGAAGGTGTCACTTCCACTTCCATTTTGAGATACGTCTTGATTATCTCACTGACATCTTCAGCTCTCCCCTGCTTCTGGGGCAGGCTCTTCCTAAAAGGTGGCAAGGAGGTGGGAGTCACAAGTCACAGCCTCACCGACCTCTAACTGAGATATAACACCCAAAGCTTTGTAACTTGGGAATTGACCCTAAGGAGCAAGTTTAGGGTTTCAGTCTTGATAAGAAGGAATGACTTAGGGCTTTAGGTAATGTTACTTTGAAAGAAAGGAGAGGAATATAAATATTGTCCATGGAAAAATCTTCTCTGAATGCTATGGGTGCATGTGAAAAGAAACAAGGCAAAAATATTGAATATAAATCTCTGCCATTATTATTTAATCTATCTGTGTTAAACAAAAGAGCATTAAGCGATCATTCCGCCAAAGCAGGAGACACGGAAGACAGCTAGTTTTCAGGCAGTACATGTCCAACTGGCGCTGGCTTGCCTCTGCCAGATTGCTGTTGTGTGGGGGAAAGAGATTTCCCACAGACTTCTTTGGGGCTACAAAATCCTGGTCTGCTAGTTCTGTGTTGCGTAATGTAAGAAGTAATTAGGGATCAGCATCACTGACATTCACATAAATCCTGGAATATTTTGATGGCACAGAGCTTACCTAATAGGATTAAACAAAGCAAATATTCAATTAGTTCTTTATGGAGCATGGCAAAACCAACCTTCTTCTGTTGAAATGGTGCAAGTGACATTCAAACATATCCATGGGATACAACAATATTATCTAACAACAAATATTTTAGCATATATTACTACATATGCTCCATTACTCTGAAATTAGACATGCAACCACTCATCACATGCTCCTGAATGCACATTAACCTGGAATTACACCATCTTCAAGGAATTAATCTCCTTTGTCATTAAAGGAAAGCTTAAATAGTACACTTCATTTTTGTTATGCTAAATAATGTATGCTGCTGCATAAAAATCGGATCAGATATTTAAACTTCAAGCTACACAATACACTTCTGAAATATAAAGCTGAGAAATCCAAGCCTTGGAGAGTATATGAGCAGGAAGATAAATATAGTTATTTTTAATAAGTGTCACAGTATTAAATTCAGGAGCAAAAATCGGAAGGTGCTGAACAGTTCTAGGGTGAAACTTCCAAATGCCTAAGGGTATGGCTGCACAAACAAGCTCCCATGAGGCAAATTAGGGCTGATTTTACAGAATATTAGGTATTATATGGTAACTGTGTGTAAGCTGATCTCCCATAGGTAATTTTACAGCATTTTGACTGAGTGATAAGGTACCAGGGGGACACCATTTGTCAGCATGATGTTGCCACACACTAGCTTGCACTTCGTAAAGCCAAGCCCTTGCTTACCTTGCGATGATTTGTTAACATAGCTATACCCACGGTGAGAGTCAAGGACATACAGGAGTCCAGGCACCTAAAGTACTTCTGGAAACAGTGTGGGCCTCAAAGTCATTGGTGTGCCTCTGAAAGACTGCACCCTAAGACTGGGAAATGTCACTGTGGCAGCCCTTGCCAACTCCTTGGTGAATTTTCTCTTTTTTTCCCCAGTGTGTATTAGTACAGTAACTAAGGATTTCCAGGGTCAGCTATTTCAGCTCCACCAGCCCTTTCTTTCTGAGCTGCACTGACTCCTAGAGCGCTACCGGGGTAAAAAGGCATCTTTAAAGAAAGGCTTTCAAATGATTGAGGTCAGAGTAGGGTGAATCTTGACTCCACACAGAACAGGTCTCTGGGACTGTTCATGTTTAGGAGCCAAAGTCCTGCCTGGACATGCTTTTCTGTCTCCACATGGAAGAGGACAGAACCTCTTCCCCGGGGTGGTGACTATGAAGCTCAGGCTGCATGCTTTTATTGGCAAATGTCTTGGCTTTCTTGAAAGGGAAGCCGGTGCTGGCTGGAAGAAGTTGTGTGCTATTAATAGTTTAGCAAATAAATGGATGTCTCCTCTCTCCTAGGGACTAAAGGGAGACATTGGACCTGCGGGTATCACGGGTCCACCTGGAAGGCCTGGTCCTTCTGGCCAGCCAGGCCCCCCTGGACCTTCAGGATCAGGTAAGCAGGAGATCAGGTGATCTCCTAAACGGTGTCCCTGCTCCCCAGCCCCTCCTGATTCATCACATACACCTACATAGGCCCCTTTACAAAAAATACTGCAGGGCTTCATTTGCTTCTCCACTGACAGCAAGGAGAGGATTTCTCCTGAAGGCAGGTCATGCCATCCTTGTCCATTATAAGGACTATATACCTTACTTTAAAGTCTAAATTATGGCTTCTGATGTTTCAAATAAAACCAAAACCAAGGCCTATGTGGTTCCTGTGGGACTTTGGTAGATGGGGATGATGAAAAGCCATCTGGCAGCCTTGGAGGCACTAGTTGAAGTCCATCATCAAAGGTCTGCTGCTTCTCCAGATATCCTGGCTTACAGTGAGAGATTGCAATTTTTAATCAGCCAGGACATACTCACCGTGTGCAGCTCTGTAAAAGAAAGAGAGGAGACTCAAGTCACAATGGCATTAAGGAAAGAAAGGAAGAGAAGGGAAGGGATAGGAGTCAGAGGGACAAAAGGGCAGTGGATAAAGACTCTTTAATTAAGTGCTGGAGATCTATGCTTGCTGCAATTGTGCATGTTGTAGAAATCATGAGAAAAATCTCGTACCTTAGAATTGTACAGCTTCAAAGCTATGCATGCACATGAACTCTGGGCAGCTTGTGAGACCAAGCATAGACATGAAGGACAATACACAACCCACAGCGTTCAGTGACAGTGAACCCTCAGGTAGGGTTTTCTCAACCCAGATATGTACTAAAGTATCTGAAAAAAAAAGCAAACCCAAGTGAAAACTACTGTTGCTTCAAACGAACAACAGCTGCTTGTGTTGCAGCTGACCTGTTCAATGTCCTCTTCCATTTTGCTTTCCCTTTTTCTTCCCTTGCTTACATCAGTGGGCAGGAAGTTTCTTTTGTGGTCCTGTGGAAATGGTACATCATCTCTGAAGCTGGGGACTGCTTCAAAATCTTCACATATCTCATGTGTTCCATTATGAAACATCTTTGCCTCAAGTAAATTAGCTGGAAGTTTTCAGAGGGCAGAATTTTCACCATGCGGATGGGAAGGCAGCCAGGACCTTGAGATGACTTTTTAAAGGCTTTATTCATCCGCAGAAAGTCTATGTGTCAGGCTTGTTAATCTGTTTCCTCTAGAATACAAATTCTGATCCTAAAAGACCTTTCTGTAATGATGTCACTGTTTGCAGTATGAACATGTTGGCTCATAGTCTAATTCTGCAAAGTAGCACATCCTTGCCAAAGTCTGAAAGTCAAAAAGCAGGGTTTTTTTGTTTTTTTTTTTTTATTCGTAGCACTCCTGTATTTCTAGTTGGGTTTCCTGTACAGAAACCTCTGAAACAGCATTGCTCAAGTAGTTGCACAAACACTCAAGTCCAGTGCATTGTGGATGTATAGAGAACTGACTCTAGTAAACTTGGTGCATAGGTGCTGTAGAGTGGTCTGTGTGTTCATCGTGTCCTGAACTTCTATCACTTCAAACAGGCTAACATTTATTCTAAGCAAATCATCTCTCTCTTTCTCTGTAAAGTTGGTAGAAAAATTTAAAAAGTGATCTGAAATAATATGACCATGGTACAAACTCGGGTCTTTCTCCTGAAGTGCTGGAATTGGTGGTTCCAGTAATGCCTTCCCTCAGTTCCCAGTGGATTTGGTAGGACATGTGCATATCTGAAAACTTAGGTAGATACATATATCCACCTGACCTGTATTTTTTCCCCTCAGGCTGCATTTGTGTTTTGTGTATTAACTTCATAACTATGCAACCTGGTATTTTGCTTCCTAGGGCAATTTGCAATAGGACCAAAAGGGGAAAGAGGACTTCCAGGGCCTCCAGGGAGATGTCTCTGCAGATCCCCACAACATGTGAATAACCCACCATATGAGGAATCTGTGTTTGGACACAGTTATCCAAAAGTCCCTGCGGTAAGCAGATTTTCTGGGAGAGGATATGAGTGGTTCTTAAGTACTTTTATTGTAAGAGGTGGTGTACTCACTAATATTTTGGATTTAACAGGGAAGATGTCTGTATGTGGGCAACGTGTGAGTTCTAGTATCCAAAATCTCTGAGATCCAGTCGGTGCAAAAGAGTTTGGTCTCATAACTAGTCTGAGGGTTGTGTGATTGTGTCGTGGTTTAACCCCACCCAGGGGTGCATTTCAGGGTGCTGAAATGCAGCTATTTCAAACCATCAGTAATGTAGCACATGTTTAGAAACCTTTTTTCAAGCCTGAGGATGCTCTCTTCCATCTCCTACTGTACATATATAATCTGTTCTTTTTCTTTCAGTAAATTGAAATGTATTTCAGATTGGTCAGTAAAGTAAGCATCTCTTTCTTGCTTATTTTTTCTATCTTCTTCTGCAAAGACAGTGATTTCAGAATTGAATATTGGGGTCAAGCATTTTGCATATGTGATAGAACTTTCTCCCAAAGCACAGACCCTCTAACTTGAACAAAAAAGGAGTCTCCACAAATCATGGGAGTCAGACTTCTGAGCTCCTGTCTGTAGGCATACACTTTATATAGCTAATTTCAATCTCTAGCCTTCCTGAAAGCATTTTTATGAGCAAATTGGACAAAGTACTTTAAAGGAGAAATCATTGGTGGGAAGTGACCACGCAATTTTTCATCTCTGATTTCTTTGGGCTTTGTAAATACCATTTCTGTACTTTTCCCTCTGCCGGGCCCTGCCTTATTATTCTGTGCATTGTAGCACTTAATCAGCAATGAAAATGCTAGCTTGCTGCTGTGTACCAGCATATCCCAGCAACTCCACTCATGCAAGTGGATATTGCGCAGTGTCTGGTCATCTCTGAATGACAATAAGCAGCAATTAGCTTTGTTAACTTTCCCATCTGTCACGTTGTCAGAAAGCTATTACGGAGTGTGAAAGGGACATACAACACTGTCTATTAAACTAGGTCATTGAACTCAATCTTTTGCATGAATCTGCTGCAAGTCTTGTCAGCTCCTTGCTCATCCCTGTCTGTGTTGCATTACAAAAAAGCCTCATTGTTTTTAAAATGTAATCATGAGCGAAGCAACTGCATGAACTAAAGGCACATCACATCACGCTGCATGCTATTGCAAAAAAACTACCATGTACTTCGCGGCATGGAGAACTCATAGGAAAAGGTATAGGGCTCACAATACTCTGTGCAGGTCCCATGACCCTCCTTCTCCATCAGGAACAGTTTCATATTAGATCTTAAAAGATGGTAATAAGACTGTAACTACCTAAAATATAAGTACCCTACACTACCGCCATGCACCCTCATTTAATGACGATCAAGTGCCGTTTCATTCTCAGAAATGCAGGGTGGCAAAGAAGCAAGCCTCAGCTCTGAAAGTGCAGCACTTGCAGAGCAGCACTACCTGTTTGCCTGCCCCATTTGTTTTACTCCCTCGAATGCCAAGAGCGGGAGCTTAAACATTGTTATTATTTATTCTGTTCAGATGCCCATGTAGCAGCTTTGAAGCCTGCCTTGTACCACTTGAAAATTATTGTCATGGTTCCTATAGCTGCACGTGGAAAAGACCCAGAGATGGTGCTCTGTGCCCCCAGCCCCAGTGTCGCGTGCTTTGCCAAAGCAGCACCCGACCGCAGCACGTCCCCAGCGCAATCACCCACTCCCCCGTCAACTCCTCCGGTGCCAGCACTGCCAGAGTTGGGGAAAGGCTAGGAAACAAAGCACTGGTTTTCTGTCACTGGCTAAGGTTCATTCTGGTTCTTAAATCTTTTGCAGTTTCAAAGGCCAGTATCTGTAACAGAGAGTTTCAGAGAGCACAGATCTGCTATTGATTTCAAGAGAAATTAGAGCTCTGGGGCTTGGACTTGAGCTCCTGAACACAATTACAGAATCAGTTCTTTACTGGCTTTCTATTTCTTTGCTTACTTTCATTCAAGCTGAAGGCATTTTTATTCAATGCTTCTTTAATGAAATTGGCCTTTGTAGAGGGCTATGGGAATATTCTGCTATGTAAAAATTTCAGGGTAATTTGTTTTAAAAAGAGCCAATTCTGTTTATGCTGGTGGGAATCAGGCTCAGCCATAAATCTATTTTGCTCAGAAGCACTCCATTTGCTTTTTCTTAATTTAAAAATGGTTCAAATCTTGCTATAATTAATTTGATTAAGCTGCTGAAGGAAGAGAGTATTTCCTAATGCCCCTTACAGCCAATTCCAGTGACTGAGACATTAAAAAAATTGGTTAGAGAGCAGCTCTTCCTAATTTTTCCATTTTTAACTAGTTCTTTTCTGTTTAATTGAAGACTTGGCTTTAGACTAAAATGTATGCTTATAAAGAAACATGCATTTCAATGACAATTATATCTAAACAAGGTACAAAGTAGTAAAAGGTAAGTGAAGGTTGCATTGAGCAATGCATTATATATTTTGTAGTCACAAGCATGCCTAAAAAATTATAGACAAACCCACAAAAAGCACTTATGCCCATATGGATTTTGGAATTGTTCCAGCATCTAACCACCGGAGCATCTGACAGTTTTTCTCAGCAATGATTGTGCACGAGTACTTGCATGACCATTACCTGTGGATGTGCATTTTGAAATAGGCGCCATTGGAGCCCTAGCTAGGTGCTCAGGAAAGACCATTCTCCTTTGGCAACTTGTGTCTCTTCTTACCAGTCACAAAAGGAGCCTCTTATGGTCTGGCAGTCCATGGGTGTAAGTTCTCATACCATTCTGTTTCTGAAAACAACCAAACCATTTTTCTATGTAATTATTTACCTATTTGCAGGTACGTATGTCAGTCAGCAAAACTAGATTCTGTGACAATCCTAAATACTTCTTGAGAGGGTTACCAATCACCTCTTTTTCTGTGCCCCAGATTTTTGTGGTGAATAATCAAGAAGAATTGGACCGGTTAAACACTGAAAATGCCCTAGCTTTTAGAAGAGATCAGAGATCTTTGTATTTCAAGGATACCTTTGGATGGCTCCCAGTCCAGGTGAAAATATGACTATGGTCTCAGAAAACTTGTGAGTGTATGTTTCATTTTTAATTAGAGAACATACTTCTGTACTTAAGGTGTCATACAGAATCAATGAAGCAAATGGAGAAAAAGCTCATTTTTGAGCACTGCCACAACTGTACATAATTCTGTGATTTTTTTTTGTGCACAGGAGTCTTAATTACTGAGGTGTTAACTCATCAGTGTTGGAGGTTTTGCTAACCTCTCTGTGAACCAGGCTCCACTGGTGAACAAACTGGGGCCAAGTTCAGGGAATTATGATAGTAAAAAGCATTTTTTATTTAATACAAAATAAGGCAAAACTCACCAGGGTACAAAGTTGTGGAAAAACACTAACCCTGCAAACCAAAACCATGTATTTCCTTATTGCTTCAAGGAGCTAAGCTAAGTCTTGCTGAAATCAGCAGCAGGATCCTTCTTGTGTCCACTGGACTTTGAATCAGCTTCTGTATAAACCCTGTGAACCACCAAAATATGAAAATCCAGTTGCGGGGTCTGCCTCCCACAGCCCTTCACCTGGGTTTGCTAGTCAGGCTGCTTGTGGTCCAGTTCAGTAACCGCTGTGTGTTTGTTTGGCCAGCTCACCCCTTTCTATTCTGTGGATTACCGCTTCAAGGATGGCGGTACCTGTGGAGATGGGATCGTACAGGATGGGGAAGAGTGTGACGATGGCAATGCGGTTGTGACTGATGACTGTATAAGTAAGTTCCAGCGCATCAAAAGCAGCCTCTTTCTACCAGGAAAGGTGCATTAGTTGTTTCCACAGGGTGCACTAGTGCGTACATCACACAAGTGTTTTACTCAGGGAAGCTTGCGTGGTTTCTGGATTGAGTGCGGGCACGGGGAGAGGGAAGCACAATGGCCGTAGTGCGAAAACTGAGGTTCTTCCTGCGTGTGGATGCCACACACCAGCACAAGACAGAGGTGATGCCAAGCACTTCTCATGCATCCGTATCGAGGACCATGTACCTCACTGAGCAGAGGCGTCTGCAATCAGAGCCAAACCACTGCATTTCAGGGGCCAAATCCAGCAGCTGGTTTACATACACACCTTCCCCGGAGGCTGCTGACTTTCTGGCCAGAAGATGTAGCATACCTTTGCAGTGCACCACAAAACCCCTTAGGATAGATAGACACAGAAGCTGGCTGTTTCTAATAGTGAGCTAGATCCTGGGTCCAGTAAAACCACTTTGGATTTTGTTATTCACTTGCATAGGGAGGGTGTCAGCTCGCTACCTTCACTATTAGGTTTATACAACATTTGATTCCTATCTAGTCAAGCTTCCTTTCATTTTGCTGGTTGTGGATAGCAAAGAGCCTATAAGCATACAAACAACTGTGGCAACCTTCACTTCTACCTTTCAGTCACTTTTACCGCTTGATTCCTTCTTCAGACCACAGCACTCTACACCATCTACAGCTGACACACAGCAGGTTTGGTATTCTGTTGGTTCTAGCAAAGGGATGCTTCTTCACATTTCAGAACGAGTATCAGCCAACACTGAAAGATGAAGTTTTTCTTTTTCATTTATATAGCTCTCCTTTTTTTTAGCCTGACTTTGAAAATGAGGTGTATACAGCAATGCTCTATGTGCGTTTGTCTATCCACCTGTCCATCACGACCTTTCCCCTTCTAACTTAGGAATCCCAGCCAACTTCTCAGTGACAACAGGAAGGAGATTTCAAAGGCAATTCAGTTGCAGTAGGTACAGGGAGACCTATAAATGCCCCTCAAAGCATGCCTGACCACAGAGTAATCCAGTGAGAGAGCATGAGCTCTCCAGGCCCCAAGCATGAGAAAATGATTTAATTAGAATTTGCAATCAACAGTGGGGAACAAGCATGCAGGAAAATAGTGCTCATTAATTTTAGTGCCTGTAAAATTGTACATTGTATGTCTGGAGGCACATCTAGTGCCCACAAAATTGTACACTGTGTGTCTGGAGGCACATTGTGTTACTTTGTGCTATACACTGGTCAAAGCTCCAGGTCGATTGAGGCCTTGCAATACATAGACTTCTGGCACTGATGTGACCCAGAGAGTTATCATTTAGTTCCTTGGAAATGAGCACAGTGTCATCATTCTGCTCTTGCGACTGAATCAAAAGAAAAAGGTTTACCAAATGTTAAGTGAATTTAATTGTAAAATAGGCTCATTGCTCTTAGAAGCATCAATTTCTAACAAACAGATCCTTGGTGCAATTAATTAATCATTTCTATTTTTAAATAGACTACTTTAACTCTTATAAACGCCTTATTCTTGCGTGTCCTTTTAATCCATTGCTTAATAGTGTCTCGGAGATGATGTCAAAGGGATTTTAGCTAAACGAATTTGTTCAAGTTTTGAAGTCATACTCAGAAAGTTGAAGACATCAAAAGCAAAGTCCAGTTGCTAAAATAGCAAACAACCCACAAATTACTGCTGCCTACATGCCAGTTCACCATGAAAAAAACTGTCACAAGGCCCACTCACACTTAAGTCGGTCGGAGTCAGCAGTGGGAAAAAACACCTTTTTGGCAATCATTGCATAATTATTTTTTTTTTATAGACAGGCAATAGGTCTGCATACTTTTATTCATATGTGGGAACTTACTTGCAGTAGACACACACAGATACTGTGCAAAATTGGGTAAAGGTCTAGGCTGGGATTTTCAAACCACTTAATAACCTCGGAGTGGTTTTTTTGAAATTGTGACCTCCCCATATAATTTATGGTAACTGTATTTTATGCTTCCTTTAATTTGTTTTGATGGCTGTAATTAGTGTTTCTGTAGTAATTATTTTTAGTAGTTAACCATTCTTTCCCTTGGTCATTGAAATTAGGCTAAAAAAAGCGTATTCTTTGCAGTGAAGAATATTGCTTCTCCTAAGACAGTCCTTACAGGATGTCCTCCCCAAAATGCCTTGGTTTATACTTTACCCTTAAAAATCCAGTCCCACTTACCTCACCTGCCTCTTTTACATATGAAGTGCCCTGAAGGTATTTCTTTCTGTATTTTTCGCCAGGATGCCGCCGTGCTTACTGTGGAGATGGCTACAGACATGAGGGAGTTGAAGACTGCGATGGGAAGGATTTTGGATATTTGACATGTAAAACATATCTCCCTGGGTATGTATGAGCTGTCTTTACTTTGATTCGGGGAGGGGGGGTTGTTGAGGGTTTTTTTTCCTCTTTTTTCTCTTTGCCAGCTTTAAAACAGAAAAGTATTACCCACTTAAACCTTGTTCCACTGGGATCACTGCAGATAGTGGGGGAGAAAGAGTCTATCAGATTATTTCTGCATATCATTGACTTTAAAGGCTAAATCTCATGTCTCAGTAATAAGCACATGCCTCTTACCCTACAAAATGAATGAAGGTCATATAGGCATATGTTTGCCCATTGCTTGCAAAGATTTCCTCATTTGGTGACATTATCATTGCATTAGTGTTCACCCATAACATACCAAGAGTAGGAAAGACCATAAGAAGGAAATGATCACACCGAATGAAAAAAAAACCAACAACTAAACCACAACCCCCAACTCGCCTCCTGTTGCCCTTACCATTAATGGGTACTCTAGGGGTATCTCTGTTTCTGAATCAACCGGTCATCTATCAGCCTTTCCAAAGACCAGGAAATTCACTCTACAGCAGATGCAAAGCCATGCATCTGCTTAACAGTGTCCTTCATTTAAAACATCTGCTTATTGTTGACTTGCCTTCTCTGCCTTTGTTTAAGCAGCTTCCTCTGGTCAGCATTTTGCCTCCAACAGCAGTACCTCTGTTTAACCGTCAGGTATTGTTACTGGCTAACAGGAAACATTTAATTTGCAAATCAAATTATGTGCAGAGCCCTCATCATTCATGGAAGAATAATGTGCTAATTGACCGCAGTAAGAAACCACAGGATGTCTTTGTAAGTCAAGCACTGTGCTAATCCTTCCAGTGCAATTGTTGCAGCACTCCAGGTGTAAGAGATTAGTAAAATCGAGACCAGCAAACCTGACAACCTGAAACATTTTACAAAGATCTCATCTTCAGACAATGTGGAGCTGTTTTCTACTGTGAAAACTATTCCCTTCTAAGAGTCTGAAGTTTGGTGCCAAAAATAGGACTACCAAAGCTTGAGAATTTTTTATTAATTTCACTTTCCATGTATAATCAAGTTGTGAAGAGCAACTGACATCCTTTATTTTTGTGTATGCAGTCTGCAAATTACCTGCTAAACTAAAGAAAAAGCTGTGAATCATGAGTAAAATGAGATAAGTATGTAAGCATGGCACTCCCAAAGGAGTTTCATCCCAAAGCACCCTTTCCTCCAAGAGCTCTGCTGCAACTGATTTTCCCATTTTCTACTCTTCCCAGCCCCCAAATGCCTCCTCATATTTCATACACCTTCACTTCAGATTTTATGTTGGTTTTCTGAGAATGTAGGTTATCCGAGGACATAGTTTTAAGGACCTGCTTAATGGCTGCTTAATCCACAGTTTGTGGATTATCCAATGGATGGGTTATTCACTTAGACATATGCTAGCAATAAAACCTCATCAAAATGCTTATTTTATTAACATCTCTGATCAGGTCGTTAGTAGGTACAGTCACTGCAGCTCAGTTGAAGTCAGTAGAAAGTAGAAAAATCACTGGTTTTCTTTATTTTACAAGGACCCTTCCATTTACTTTATTTCAAAGGTGGGCATGTGTCACTCTCATGATTTCAAGTACATGATAAGTAAGTTAAAGGACAGGCACAGTCACACCTGCTGGAGCTATTGGAAGTAACTGGAAAAACACTTAGCTCAGAGCCTCAGATATTTCGTTACACAGTTTCCATGGATGAGCACCAAGGCCTCCTGCACCCACCCCCACGTAACACTCAAGTCCCACTGCCAATGGGGATTTTTTTTTTTTTTTTAATTGACATTACTGGGAATTATGTCTCCACTCATAGTTTTTCCTGCACTTTTATTTTGCTGACAAGGGGGAGCACATTGGAGCACTGATGGAAATTACCCTCCCATTTTGGTTCCCATATGTTGCTGCACACGGCATTTTCTGATGTCCTTCACTCCTACTGAGACTTACATCCAGAAACTTTACAATGTGAACTATAGCATACTTTGAAACTGAGATATTCTCTTTTACTCTAGGTCTTACGGAAAATTGCGATGCACTTCTTACTGCTACATTGACTCTACACAGTGTCGATACTTCACATGAAGGGAGAGGAGGTGGGTAGCATCCCACATGTAGCGGGGTGCTAGGTGCTACGCTATCATCTATCCAAGAAGGACTGGGACAAAAAAAACCCCCACCCACCTCTGTGTGAAAACAAACAAAGAGACATCATGCTGCTGATGGCCATTTTGAGATGTTTTTCTTTTTTTTTAAATTAAGTCAGATTGGGAAAAAATAGGACCACTGCATCCTGTCTTAATAGAGAAATGTCAAACAGTGTTTGCCAGTAAGACTTTCATGTGGCTGTGGATGGCAACCTGCTTTCCATCACAAATGCAATGTTAAGCTACTGGAAACTGAATTTCACTAACCAGGAATATTGAGTAACAATTACCTCGACTTAGCACTGTTAAGCCTACATGTAAGCTCTTCAGGGTTTTTGTCTTTAAATCTTCTCAGCATAAACACAAAGCATATCTTGGATGCAGTGTTTATAGAGACTTCCTCTTTTATTACAATGTGAACTTTGCAAGTGTTGTATCCACATGAGTGATGACTTCAGGGACATCAAGGTTAAAGATACACCTTCACGGGTCAAAGGAGCAGAGTGCTTTCAAGATCAGCAAAGCAGCCAAAAAAGCTGTTTAACTTCACCTTCAGGCTAAGACGTTTGGCTGTGTGTGTCTGTGTGCATGCACAGAAATGCAAGCAGTCACAGGAGGCCTGAAACTGCAGACCACAAAGGCCAAACTGGACAAATAAATTGTGAAATAGCCAAGGAGCTCTCTCCCAGGAGAAAATCAGACAAGGAGGGAAGATAAAGAAGGAACATATTTCCATATTTTTCACCTCTGTTGAGCTGGCTGGGCTCTGTGTGACCTCAAAGGGGCTGAGACAGCATTGGTTGAAACCACAGCGTGACCACGTACACATTGCCTTCACTATGGTTTCTACACTGGAAGGTCTTTTCATTTTCATCCCCTTGTCCACCCAACTATCATCATTCAACTACCCGTTATACCCTTTCCTCTCTCCCACTCTCTCCCGCTCGCTGTTTCCACCATCGTGTCTGGGGTACCCCCCAATGTACGTTCTCACTTTTGTATCGCTGTAAATCAGACCTTGGAGTAGGGTGTTTATGGATGCTCCTTCATGCTGAGTAATGTACATGTATTTTTGTTTTTCAGAAAGTTTGTTCAACTGCTTTATCTCTGACAGGAGTCAGGGTAATTATATACTTACTTATTAGCAAGAATTAAAGAGCAAATTTCACATGGGAAGCATATTAAATGTTAAGTGAAAAGAGTCTATAAAAGAAGAAAATGAAACATAGGGTGTGCAGAATTCAGGACTAAAAGCCTCAAATCAAGGTGTTATTTTCATACAAGCCACTCTTTCCTGCTTCATGATAAATGCTGTACATGACTGTTTGAAATGTGTGAGCTATCTGTACCAGTGACAGCACTGCAACAGCTGCACTTACACTGGTACGTCTGTAAAGGTTAAAGGTGGATGTTATAATGATAATGCATTAAAGCAATCAAGAAATGCATACAGCTTTTACCACCTGTATAGAAGACTTTAACTCTGCATGTCCAAAGTGGTACTGGAAATCACCAAGTGAAAAAAAAAACCAAACCAACAAAATTAGTGTACTCTTTGTAGCTATCACTTACCCGGGCTATTTATGTCGCTATGAAGCCAAGCCACCAGCATTTGTAGCCCAGTTCAATAGTTCAAAATTTTTCATCTTGTTGCTTTTTTTTTTTTAAACAGAGGTCTTAATAAAAGGTCAGGGAACCACAGGGGCAAGGAACTTACCATAAGCTCTGGAAATCTGGGCACTAGCACAGCTGCCTTTTAATTTCCTGTGCTTTCGCAAGCAGCAGGTTCCAGCAGCGTCATACCACGCAGCAACATGTACCCCAGCAGGACGCTCCCCAGGACAGCCACGCTCCCAGGAGCACGTCCTGCTGGCCAACCCTCTGGCTGAACCTCTGGCAGCATCTGCCAGGTGTTACCATCCTGGGCTTGGAGACACTTCATCTGAACTCCTCACCTTCTCCAAGGACTTCATCTCTACTCCCCAGAAGGCTGGAGTCTTTGAGAAATTTGGTAACCTCGGTGGCCTTGCACATTCAGTTTTAAGTTGCGTCATTTTTAAAAGCTGCTACCTCCAAAGGACGTTGAAGTTGCAAAGCTAAGTGCACGGAGGATAGGAAACATAAACAGGAGATGTGATCACATAGGTAAAATTGTACTGTGCTGCACATGTTCAGGAAGGTGTGTATCAGTCTGGTCGTAAAACATACGCAAAGCATGGATTTTAAATGGACTTTATTAATACAGCACAAACAATTCAGCATCTTAACAGAAAGAAAGCAATCTAAGATATAAGGAAAAAAACCAAAAAGACATGAAACGAGTTTCTTACTACCATTACTGTCTTGCTCCCCTCAGATGATAAAGCATGAGAAAGACATCTGGGAAGGTGTTAAGTATATATGATTTAAAAGGCTGCAAAAGAAATCCTTCCTCCTTATTTCTGACATACCTGCTTTATCATTAATTGGGGATTCTTCAGCTGGATGGTGCCTGGTCTGCTGTGAATTATCTTCCCTCCTTCTCTGAGTTTCTGGCACATTGTGCCAAGACTGGTTCAAAAGTTAATTGGGGTATTTCAGTTCCTTGGCCTTTTGTAGCAGCAAATGCTTGTGGGAGAGTTTTCTAATGATTAGTATGCAACTCTAGACAAATACAAAACCAGTATGACCTTACACCATGCACTGTATTAAACGTATACTAAAAATCCAGCTTGCACTTAATATATAATTAAATATATGTAGTTACCTACTGCATGTGTTAGCAGCTCATGTCAATAAATTATGCTACCTTAGTTCTGCTATGTCCTTACTTTCGCTTATTTCATTTTGGGTTTAACACCACAGTTTTTAAATATAATTACCTAGTTTAAGAAGCCAGGAAGGAAAAAACCCCAGTGCCTCCTTTCCCATGCCTGCTGCCTCTCCCCGCCTGCTGGACCCAGCTCTGTGCGGGCGCACGGGCGTGCACAGACCAGGAGTGTGACTGTGCATCCCTGCACCCCGTCTTGCTGCTGCCCCAAACCGACCCGTGCAACACACCATGTGCAGAACTGCTCCACTTTCATTGATTTCTGATTGTAATGGGAGTCACTTGGACTACTTTTAATAAGGGCTGCGGTTTTGGGGATTATCTCCTCCCGCTACCTCATAACGTACAGGCTGGTTTGTAACTCCTACCCGAGGCTGAGCTGCAAACCAGAAAGCAACAGCATCGGGTGCTGATGGGCGATGGGAACGGCAATGTTGGCACCTCGGGTTTCGTCCCTCCCAGCCCGCAGGAAAAGGCTCCTGCCTTGCAGTAACAGCTGGCAAGTCTGTCCTCCCAAGGCTTTTGCGTACAACGGGGCATCCCAGAGAAGGGCAGTGCTGTCTGTCCCCACGGGAAATGGAAGTGTATTGATGGCCAGAGAATGAATGAGTCTTTGGGGTGGTATATTTTCTGCCTGCCCTTTCTAAAAGCTTAACTTCCCAAACGCCTATGTCATGTCTCTCTTCACTTCAAAGCATTCAAAATTGTAGCTGCCAACCCTGTCCTTGCCCATAAATCTGGCCGTGCAGCTCACCTCCTCCTTTCTTTGTTCTTATGGTTTCCTTTAACAGCAACAAAGTTCATATTCCCCCCCCCCCCAAACCCCTGCAACATCCTCGCTGCTCTGCAGGCACTGAGTTTCATTGGCTTCTTTTTCAGCCTGTCATGCCATCCCTTTTCTAACATCTTCTGCATGCCACAGCCCCGCAAACATCACAGCAAAGCCCCTTGGCCGTGGTTCTTACCTTCTTAAAGGATGGCTTCTTAGAGAAGTCATCCTCAATGTCTCTAAAAATCGTGTGGTGCAATTCCCATTTCAGTCCCACTGATTTGGACAAGGGGCGAGGGGATTCATGGTTATCCTTAATCTGGGAGTCCCTCCAGAACAGACACTGTCCTTGAGCACCAGCTGTTTATGAGTAACAACAGTAATAAGCCCCCGGTTACCTGCTTCTGGGGACAATTCAATAACTTTGGCACTCTGCTACTACATACAATCAGGGTACGTATTAAAAAAAGAAGACCAAAATAAACCCAGAAGAGAAGTAAACCAGTGCTATGCTGTGATTCTTTGATGACACTCAAGTGTATTATGCAGGCAAGGCAATGCCAGAAGAAGATCTTAACTCTTAGGGAGTTATTGGAAAAATCATGTTTTAATTCACAAGTGGTGAGGCAACAGAGAGCACTTTGTAATAAATTTTCAAAGTTCTTCCTCTGATAGCTTTTGCCTAAGGAGATGGATATGGCAAAGCAAGTGTCCCTTCCCTGGAAACCATTCTCTTGCATGGAAACCACCAAGTAATGGGCTATTGAACTCAGCTACAGGCAACGTAAGGTGCTGGCAGAAAGACAAACTAAAGCAGGCAACTAGTGAATGTAAAATTGGGATCAGGAATTCGGTTCAGAGTAACTGATGCTTATTGATCTGGTAAGGGACCGTGCAACTTGCAGACCATCTAAGTGCTGCCAAACGTTAATCAAAGAGAAAAAAGGAACAAAGCCTAAGCAAATGAACCATTTTTTGTCTGTATTGAACCTGGTGAGTGAAAAAACCCACTGTATCAATGCATTCAGTTACATGCCCAGCAATGTGCTCATTGCTGCAAACTGGGGTCCTCTGTGCTGAAGGCTGGTGTCATTCCAGGTCTGAAGAGGCCAGAGCAAAGCCAGGGCACATGCTTTCATTGCATTGGTAATTACTGAGGCATTTAGGAGGATGGCCCTGAACCAGCCCAGCCGAGGAAAGGCTGCGTTTGAAAGAGTAGCCAGGCCAAATTGTATTAGAGGAGTGTACTCCTGCTGGAAATTACATTAGTGGCTACTTCCCTCCCTCTAACCCCAACAAAATCTTGGCGCTTAAAAAGCACTGAGTTATAGCCCTGGCCTTTTAGGGCTTTTAATTCACTCTGACAGTTTCCTGTGCATCTGATGGAGGGTCCGGTTTGGATGCATAATCTTCTCGAGTGAGAGAGAATAGGGTTTAAACAAGCATACTTTGCTGCAGCCTTCCCACCCACTACTGAACAAGTAGCTCTCCCTGCACGGGGTGCTGCTCAGCATTTTCTCTGGGAAAGGAGGGGGAAGGAGAACCATGGAGCTGAACCCTCGAAGCCTCCCATAGCAAAGCCAAGGGGTGCCGCAGGGCACTGCGGGGAGCAAGAGCCTCTCTGGCCGTCGTGCTCGGGGTGGGAAGGGGCCTCATGCCACACATCCATCGGAGCATGTCATGTTCTTCAGGAAAACCGTCTGCCGGGCTGTCCCCAGGGCCAATGCTACCGGTAGGATCTCCTGCAGGACACAGGGAAGGACAAAGCACTCCCCGAGCTGTTTTGCAGGTGCGGCTGGGAGCCTGCCCGGCTAGTGTGTGACAACACAGATGCAGAGCCTCGACAGAGCAGCAATCTGAGGTAACGGCACGATAAATCAGCCAGGAGGAAGAGGAGGTAACATTAACCTCCTCACACAGCAGCACATTTAGTATATTTAGAAACTCGGCAACTGATGACTCTCTCTCAGCCAGTCTAAAATGTCACCTTCTAGTAAGTGAACAAACTGACATCAGCATTAAATCCAAGCCCAGGGCAAGATGTGTGTTTGACACTTGTGCCAGGTGTGGGAGGAAGCTTTCGGGGTTCATCTTGGAGAGGAGACGGAGACCTGCCAGAGACCTCAGCACCCCTTGCGTGGGGTTAGCAGGGGGGGACAGTTATTTGCCAGCACCCTCCCAGGGGGAAGGGGCACCCAATGGCATTTCCCACTGAACCACTACAGAGTGCTGACTTAAGACGTGGAAATGCAGGCCTGTAAGACTTATTTTCCTTTGCCCTCTTAACCAGCATGTCTCTAATTTGGTGGCGCAAAGAGGGAATAGCTTGGGGACCCCATACTGTTCCCCAGCCCCATCACAAGGGCCCAGAAACTTTTTAGTGATGAATTTTGTTTGGAAGAGGAGAGCTCCCATTGCTCCCTGCCCTTCTCATTTCCATCGGCCATGTTCCCCATGAAACTCACCGTGCAGGAGCTGGGGTAGGCTGCATGGAGCCAGTCAGACATTTGGGGCAGGTTATGCTTGGTGCTTCCCATGCCTTCCTCTTGGAGGTTATTTGATGGACAAACATACACGGGAACCTGGCAACCCTGACACTTCATAGCAACACAATTTCTTTTATACATTTCCATTGGGTTTGTCATCTTGTCTGTCAGTACTGCTCTAAGGACAGGACGTGCCAAGCAAGATTATACTGAGGACTGCTTTGGTTTTGAGCTGTTACCAGATTTAAAGTGGAGGATGACCGATTAGAGGTGAGAAACAGAGAATGGTTCAGGCGACTGAACTGTCCCACGGAAATGTGTATATTATGGGCCAAAAACCACAGGGAGGTTGGTCATGAAGGACAATAACAAGCCAGATTTAAGCCATGATGCTCCAGTGCATTCAGATAAACCATCATAAACCACCTGGTGGCTGTAGTGGCGAGTTACTATTTCACTGTCATTTGACCAGAGACTAGTTTTCAAACCCAGCAGTAACCCCGAAGCAGCAGTGTGGGACCAGTGGGGTGAAGCTGGTCATCTCACTGGTCTTAGTGGATGCAGAGTAGGGCAGAGAGGCTTGCTCAGTGCCAGGACGTTTTGAGCAAGACAACATCTGGTGTGAAATGCTGCAGGATTACAGCTTCTAAATAAAGCCAGGGAGCTGTACCTGTTGCTGCCTGGGGTCAGCAGGCTCTGCTTTAAGCTGTCTGAGACCGAGCTAATCTAAAGATGTTAAATATTTGTTTTCTGCTCTACACTGTCCCATTATTTGATGAGCAATAATGCCTTGTAGGTTTGCCAGGGAGTAAATACACAGCAGGGAGGATTAAACTGCTGTGACTGGCCCTTGGGGCAAATAGATTGACATAAGAGAGTTTGTACTGGGTATAGGCAAGGAAGAGCCGAGCTCTAAGGACATAAAAATCATGTCATTATTCCTCCTGTATTCAGCAGTCACACATCTGTTAGGCCATTTGAAAGGGGAAACCCATGCTCTTTTTTAGCCATACTGACCCTGTATTTTGCAGCCTTGAGGATGGCAGGACTCCAGCTGCAGGGTAAAGAGAGGCAAAGCTTCCCTCAAAATGCAAAACCACCCAAAAGGCTGCTAGCGATGTCTCAGCAGTAGGGGTTCGTGCAGTGCCATGCAGCACGGCCGTGGGCGATGCCGGGTTGCTCAGGCTTCTCTCCTTGCCTGCGACAACCATGCCCAGGTTTCACAGCAGGATGGTCTGTTTGGTAAGTGCATCCGTATGTGAAGATTGAAGACTTCTTCATTTCTGTTGCATCAATGGCCAATGCACTGCATCGGCATTTGGGGGCGGAAGGAATTCTCCTCCACACCCTCATCACCTATGGCTCACCTGAAGGTTGTCACTGAGGCTGAGGGACACACACTTGACAGCTCTGATTTATGGAGATGATCAGATCTGTCTGACATTTATTTAGGGATATAAACCAAGGCTGTTTTCCAGACCATCTCTTGTTTTCACCAAACTTCGTAGCCCACAAGACAAGTCCTTTAAGGCAGATCTGTGCTGCGTGTGTCTCCGGAAGGGCACAGCAGCAGCACCCCCAGCAGTAAGTACTGCATTATTTGACTACAGAAGTCACTGAGAAGTGATTTGTCCTGTTTCTGGTTATGAACACCCCATTTTGCTGTCCATGACAAAGCATGCTTTGAGGATTGTTTTACTTGCAGACATGTCCTCGCAATGGCTATGTCAGGGGCTTGGGTTTTGTGGTCTGCAGCTGGATACCTCAGCCATACAGACCCAGTTCTGCTCCCTCAGCAGAGGGCTGATTATTTCCTTGCTTCTTTCTTTTTTAATAAAAAGGGTAATAACAAATATTTTTTTTGAAAAGTTACATGCTTGAAGGAATATCCTGCTTGCATGTGTTTCTAAGCCTCTATCAAAAAGCTTTATTCTTCTAACAGCTGAAAGCAAAGCTCCATTTGAGATGGACTGCAGACAAAAAAATATGAATGTGGAATGATGAATCCTCTCCCTGTGCTGAGAACAGCTACATACTCACAGGCTGTTCAGAGAATGTAAGAAAATTACTTGATTGCCCAATGGATGATACAGGCTTAAGAAAATGTAAATTAATATCTAATTACTTTATTGAAAGCAGAAGAGCATTGACAGAAGAGAGTCTATTTCAGAAGGAGTGTAGCCTGGATGTATGAACTCCACACAAGTAAAGGACCAATACAAGAAAACTGAAAGTGCCACATGAAGAAACTTTTAGGCTGGCCAACAAGAAGCATGTCCAAGTGCTTTGAAATAATCCGGGGTTTTCCCCAGCTTCCACTCAGGGGCCCTGGGGAGAGCAGCCTGCTCAAGGTGACTGGTGAAGTGTGAGGTGAGTCAAACTAGCAGTGACTATTTATACATTGACAGTGTGCTGTAAACCAAAGGTGAGAGAATACAAATCCTTCAAAGACTGGGGCCGAAGGGGAATTTAATAAGCCGGACTGAAGAAAATAAATTGTGAAATGTCCTGCCAGGATCCTGTGGACACATATTTAGCTAAATGTGGCAAGAGCATTCCAGGCACCTTTAGAAGACCTTGAAGAGAATAAACAAGAAGACAAAAAAAGAAAGACGCCAATTAGAAGAACACAGGTGCACATTCCACAATAAAGGGAACTTGGCACAAAGAACCTCAATTCGGCAGTTTATCTTGACCAATTAGACTGAGACAAGTTTCGCATGTTTTAGTTGGTATAACCAATTATGTCCTATGTTTATGTGCGTGTACAGAGTTGATATAACCAATCATATTTTATGCTTGTGCATGTGTACAGTGACTTTGCAGAATATGTGATTATAAATATGTGTGTGTTTTAGCAATAAACGTCATCTGCTTTCAACTTTACAGGCGTTTGTTTCTACCTCCTGCAAATGGTGACCCCGACGTGGCCCTGAGAGCGCAGAAGACGCAGCAGGAGAAGCCCTGGTTGGAGGTACTGCTGTCGGCGGGACCAAAGCAGGGAAGCTGAGCCTAGGCTAAGAAGACACCTGAAAGGAAGGTGAGCAACCAGGGGCAGTATGGGGCAAAACATGTCCTCGGAGGAAAGGGCAATAGTCAGTCTCCTACTGCATATACTCTCTAAGAGAGGAATTAAATGTAGTGAATCCTCTGTGAGAAGGTTATTGAAATGGTGCCGAGTTCAGGGCTATCCTGCTGAAATGGCTACCGCATTTGAGCCTGATATTTGGGCAGAAATTGGAACAAAATTACGGGATGCGATCTCTAAAGGGGATCAACACGCTAAAGAACTGGTTACTACTTGGCGGTTACTTTTTCACAATATACAGAAATTACACCACACAATATACAATCTCTTACGGGCAGAAAGAGAGGTGGCAGCTGAGGCAAATTCGATTTTGAATCCAACAGTATCGGTGTCGGTAAATGGCGATGAGGACAGACACGATACCAATGAGTCATCTTGTTCGCATTGTCCCTCTGACTGTACTTGTCATAAAATGACATTACCGGATGGTTCAGTAAAAGATACACCGGAGCCAAAAAAGGCATCGCCACCTATTCTACCACGAAACCCTGAGAAAGAAATACACCTGATTAAGCCATCTACGGGTTTATATCCACCTTTACCTGACGATGATGATAATTGGTCAGAACCTCCCCGAGACGATATTTCTTTAGAAAAAGAAAAACCGCCACCAAGTTATGATGTAGCTGAAGATTTGGGCTGTGACCCGAGAAGTTACTGGAGAGAAATACATAAGAAAGCAGCAAGCGAGGGAGTGGTCATTCCTCCTGCTTATCCTGTTATAGTGAGGGCAAATAATCCAAATGAATGGAATCCCTTTTCATGGGATTTGATAAAAGAAGTGTGCAAGTCAGTCCATAATTATGGGCTGATGGCTCTTTTCACTGAAACGCTGCTCGACAATATTTTTGGAGCTCAACTTTTGACTCCGTATGATTGCGATCAATTAGCCAGCATGCTATTAAAGCCAACTCAGAAAATATTGTGGAGAGACAGATGGAGGGGACTGTGTGAAGAAGTTGCTATAGAAAGTTTGGATAGACCCGATGATGACCCCATGAAGGCAATCGGGCTGGATCACCTTATTGGGACAGGTAAATTTACTGATCCAAGATTACAGGCAAGGTTTCCCATAGAGGCCTTGAGAACTGCTTCAGTAATGGCGTTTAAAGCAATGATGACTCTGCCAGAAGAGGGTAGAAATGTTATGATGTCGTTCACGCAGATTAAGCAGGGTCCCCAGGAATTGTACACGTCCTTCATTGACAGACTAAGAGACGCAGTAACTGAACAAGTATTGAGTGTGGAGGCTCAGAATGCTTTGGTGCTAAAATTAGCAGTAGAGAATGCAAATGCTGACTGTAAAAAGCTTTTGATGGCATTAACCAGAGATGCCAGCCTTGTGGATATGGTCGAGGCATGTAACAAGATTGGAGCGACATCATTCCAAATGACTGCATTAGCAGAAGCGTTTGCGGTTGCACTTAGAGAGGCTAAAAAACGTTACAACTGTGGAAAGCCCGGCCATTTAAAGCACAATGTCGGGCTAAAGGGAAACCGAGACAAAAACCACCCGCGGTATCGACAGCAAACTGTGAGACCAGTGCGGGTTTGTGCAAGGCGCCAGGAGGGTGCCCGGGCGGCTCGCGTTTCCCCTTCTGAACCCCCCCAGACCAGCTCTCCGCTACCGCCTGTGGCGGCAACCGGCCAGCAGAGGGCGCCGGC